ATAGGGAGCTCCACCGACGGCCCCAGTGCTACCTGTGTCCCTCAATAGTTCTGGGTCCCCGGACTACTGGTACCCCCCGGACTACAGGTAACCCTTCCGTACACCCCCCCGGACTACAGGTACCCCCCCGGACTACAGGTACCCCCCCCCCCCGGACTACAGGTACCCTTTCCCCGGACTACATGTACCCCCCCCCCGGACTACAGGTACTCCCGTTAAGTGCTACAAATCCTCTCTGAAGCTACAGGACCCCGTCAATTCGCTATCCCCTGGGAGCCACGCGCAATCCCGCGCGCGCAGACACCCGCGCGCCGAAACCCGTGCGCGTGGAGCCACGCGTGCTTCGACGAATAAAATGCGCGCCCCCCGGACTACAGGAACCCCCTGCGCGGCCCCACCCCCCGACTACAGGTACCCCCCCAGGACTGCAGGTACCCCTTCCCCGGACTACAGGTACCCGGGCCCCCCCCCCCGGCTGCTGCCCCCCCCCCCCCCAGACTACAGGTACCCCCCCTGGACTACAGGTGCCCCCAGAACTATTGAGGGACACAGAGTGCTGCTCGCATGCGCTCCCCCACCCACTACAGCGCTTCCTGGCCCCATAAGGAACTCCACCGTCGGCCCCAGTGCTACCTACAGCGCTTCGTGGCCCCGTGGCGAGCTCCACCAAAGGTCCCAGCGCTACCGCCCGCATGCGTCCCCCCACCCAGAACAGCGCTTCGTGGCCCCATGGGGAGCTCCACCGAAGGTCCCAGTGCTACCACCCGCATGCGTCCCCACCACCCAATACAGCGTTTCCCGGCTCCGTAGGGAGCTCCACCGAAGGTCCCAGCGTTGCCGCCCGCATGCGACCGTCCCATACAATACAGCGTGTCGTGGCCCCGTAGGGAGCTCCATCGAAGGTCCCAATGCTACCGCCCGCTTGCGTCCGCCCCATCCAGTACAGCGCTTCGTGTCCCCATAGGAACTCAACCGACGGCCCAAGTGCGATCGCCCGCATGCGTCCCCCCCACCCAGTACAGCGCTTCGTGGCCCCATACGGAGCTCCACAGACGGTCCCAGTGCTACCGCCCGCATGCGTCCCCCCCACACCAAGTACAGCGCTTCGTGGCCCTATACGGAGCTCCGCCGACGGCCCCAATGCTACCGCCCGCATGCGACCCCTGCCACCGAGTACAGCGTTTCGTGGCCCCGTAAGGAACTCGACCGAAGGCCCCAGCGTTACCGCTCGCATGCGTCCCTCCCGCCCTATAAGTACAGCGCTTCGCGGCCCTATACGGAACTCCACCGACGGCCCCAGAGCTACCGCCCGCATGCGTCCCCCCCACCGAGTACAGCGCTTCGTGGCCACATGCGGAGCTCCACCGACGGCCAGCTCCTTCCGAAGAAGATATTCAAATTTGCGGTACTCACAACTGCATATGGCTGGGTCCTGCGCAAGGATAATGTTCCCAACCATCCTGTGGTGTTGGGTCCACGTTTTGAAAAGACGGTCCCCGCTTTCCTCCTTCCTTCATTCCTTCCTTCCTCCTCGCTTCCTCCCTCCTCCCATCATCGTCGTCATCACCCGTTTCAGCACACCCCTCGCACGTTCGTGGCCCTGTAAGGAGCTCCACCACCAAAGGTCCCAGTGCTACCGCCCGCCTGCGTCCCCCCCACCCAATACAGCGCTTCGCGGCCCCATAAGGGTTTCCACCGAAATTCCCAGTGCTACCGCCCGCATGGGTCCCCCCCACCCAGTACAGCGTTTCGGGGCCCATAGGGAGCTCCACCGAAGACCCCAGTGCTCCCGCCGGTCCAAGTTCTACCGCCCGCTTGCGTCCCCCCTACCAAATACAGCGCTTCGTGGCCCCCTAAGGAACTCAACCGACGGCCCCAGCGCTACCGCCCGCATGCGTCCCCCCCCCCACACGCAGTACAGTGCTTCGCGGCCCTATACGCAGCCCCACCGACGGCCCCAATGCTACCGCCCGCATGAGTCCCCCACACCCAATACAACGTTTCGTTGCCCTATACGGAGCTCCACGGACGGCCCCAATGCTATCGCCCGCATGCGTCCCTCCCGCCCACTACAGCATTTCCTGGCCCCATACGGAGCTCCACCGACGGCCCCATTGCTACCGCCCGCATGCGTCCCCCCCACTAAGTACAGCGTTTCTGGCCCCGTGGGGAGCTCTAGACGGTCACAACGCTACCGCCTGCTTGCGTCCCCCAATACAACGTTTCGTGGCCCCACAAGGGACTCAACCGACGGCCCCAGTACTACCGCCGGCATGCGCCCCCCCAACCCACTACAACGCTACAACGCTTCCTGGCCCCATAGGGAGCTTCACCGTCGGCCCCGCTGCTACCACCCGCATGCGCCCCCCCCCACCCAGTACAGCGCTTCGTGGCCCTATATGGAGTTCCACGAACGGCCCCACTGATACTGCTCGCATGCGTCCCCCCACCCACTACAGCGCTTCGTGGCCCCATAGGGAGCTCCACTGACGGCCCCAGTGCGCCCGCATGCGTCCCCTCACCCAGTAAGGCGCTTCCTGGCCCCATAGGGAGCTCCACCGTAAGGTCCCAGCGCTACCGCCCGCATGCTTCCCACCCATCCAGTACAGCGTGTCGTGGCCCCGTAGGGAACTCCACCGAAGGTCCCAGCGCTACCGCCCGCATGCGTCCCCTCCACCCAGGACGACGCTTCGTGGCCCTATAGGGAGCTGCACCGACGGCCCCAGTGCTACCGCCCGGATGGGTCCCCCCCACCCAGTACAGCGTTTCGTGGCCCATAGGGAGCTCCACCGAAGACCCCAGGGCTACCGCCGGTCCCAGTGCTACCGCCCGCTTGTGCCCCCCCTACCAAATGCAGCGCGCGTGGTCCCATAAGGAACCCAACCGACGACCCCAGCGCTATCGCCCGCATGCGTCCACCCAACCCAATACAGCGTTTCGTGGCCCTATACGGACCCCACCGACGGCCCCAATGGTATCGCCCGCATGCGTCCCCCCCCCCACACCCCACACCCAGTACAGCGCTTCCTGGCCCACACGGAGCCCCACCCCCCGACTACAGGTACCCCCCCAGGACTGCAGGTACCCCTTCCCCGGACTACAGGTACCCCCCCCCAGGCTACTGGCCCCCCCCCCCAGACTACAGGTACCCCCCCTGGACTACAGGTGCCCCCAGAACTATTGAGGGACACAGAGTGCCGCCCGCATGCGCTCCCCCACCCACTACAGCGCTTCCTGGCCCCATAGGGAACTCCACCGTCGGCCCCAGTGCTACCTACAGCGCTTCGTGGCCCCGTGGCGAGCTCCACCAAAGGTCCCAGCGCTACCGCCCGCATGCGTCCCCCCACCCAGAACAGCGCTTCGTGGCCCCATGGGGAGCTCCACCGAAGGTCCCAGTGCTACCACCCGCATGCGTCCCCACCACCCAATACAGCGTTTCCCGGCTCCGTAGGGAGCTCCACCGAAGGTCCCAGCGTTACCGCCCGCATGCGTCCGTCCCATACTATACAGCGCTTCGTGGCCCTATACACAGCCCTACCGACGGCCCCAATGCTACCGCCCGCATGAGTCCCCCCCCAATACACCGTTTCGTGATCCTATACGGAGCTCCTCGGACGGCCCCAATGCTATCGCCCGCATGCGTCCCTCCCCTTCGCGCCCGCATCACAGGAATCCCTCAAGCCGTTGCGGCCCCGCAGACATGTTTCTTTCAAGAGCCACACGATCACCGCGATAGAGCAGGCATCGCTCTGCGCCTTCCACTGGGGAGCCGCCGGCGGGTGTGCCACTGGCCCGTTCGCGGAAAGATTTGCGTGGACCTCTCAAGCTAAGCGTTTTGGCCCAGTGAACGTGATTCTTCTCAGAACCCATTGGGTCCCCAGGATTTCTCAGGAGGTCCCAAGAGGCCCCTCGATGCCTCAGAACGCCTCGGGGGGCCCAAGGATGTGCCGAGAGGCTCCAATAGGCCCCGCTAGGCTCGAGGAAACCACAAGGACCACAACAGCCCAAGAAAAGACGGCAAAAGAGGAGAGCGACGACGAAGACGAGAAGAGAACCCCGAGACGAACGCGGACAAGCGGGTAACGTGTTCTGGCTCTCCCCAATCTGGGGACATGGCGTATCACACGTGACGACGGCCTCCCGTGACCCGCCCTCCCGAAGAGAAGAGTCGCCACCCAGAATGCTGGGTTTGCAAGTGGCGGGAATTGACGCAGGCGGCTGGATAATGATAACACGAATGATGCCAAACTAATGTTGCTGTTGCTTGCTACTAGTACTGAAAAGACGATGTGGACAAGGGGCTCCCCTCCCCGCTCAGAGCTGCTGGGGAGCGCCTTCTTCCTCGTCCTCCGCCTGTTCTTTGCCCCTCCCCCGATCTCTTCCTCTTGCCCCCCTCCTTCTTCTCCTCCTCCTCCTCCTCCTCCTCCTTCTCCTCCTCCTCCTCCTCCTCCTCCTCCTCCTCCTCCTCCTCCTCCTCCTCTGCGCGCTCCCCCCCCTCCCCCCTCCTCGGTTTGTGGTCCGCGAGTTCAGGATTCTCCCACAGTGGCACCGGCGCGCGGCAGAGCCGCATCAAGTCCAGGCGTGTGCAATGTATGATCACACGCCTCCTCTGGTTGAGAAGCAACAGGCCGCGTGAACATGAACGCTCGAAGGTCCGCGCGGATCCCTTGTCACGTCGCTGCACCCTTCTCCCCCCTGGCGCCGGAGCGGCACCGGGGCGGCGCCAGGGGCGCCGCCGCGGGGTCCACCGCCGATCCCAGAGCTCCGCACGGACCTCCGCGGCCGTATGTTCTTCACTACTCGATGTGGCACCTCCCCTCGCCCCGCTTCCGCACTCGCGACGCAGCACCGCTCAGCCACGTGCTGTGCACCGAACATCGCAGGGTTGGGGCCTTTCCCAAGCCCGAGCCTCGGTGCGGATCGCTAGCGCGTTTTGTCTTTGTCGTCGTCGTCGTCGTCATCGTCGTCGTCGTCGTCGTCGATGACGACGGCGATGATGTCGATGACCATGGCACACGGCGGAAAGGAGATATTGACACAGGCACAAAATCCGGGGGCAGGCTTCGGCACACGATGCTTCGAATCCACACGACACTCTGCGCAACACCTACGCGTGCTGGCGGCCGCTTGCCTAAAGTTACGAGTGCCGCTAGACGCCGTCGTGTTCGGACGGGGGCAGAGGTGGGAAGACAGCGACATAGCGCCCAAGCCTGTCTAAGGCGTTGTCCCCGCGGCCCCCTGCTGATTTCGGGACCCCCCGCTGGGGCCGCGGCTCTGGCAGGGCCTCCGTGGCTAGCCGACATGGAAAAACCGTCCTGGTGCACCACACCGCCACTCCGAGAACCACGGCGGCAGTCGCTCCTCGTGACCCGCGCAACACGCCGTTGTGTTGCCAGGCGTGCGTGAATTGTGTGTATGTGGGTTGACGACCGAAGAGTCGAATCTACTGGATCTCCCGTAGGGAGAGGGCTGTAAAGGGGGAGGGTGGCGAACCCTTCTCCCATGCGCCGCGGACAGGCGGCGCTGTACTGACTACCTACCAGACCACCCCAACCCAACCCGAAGACCCGAATTTGAATCAAATTTCGGGTTGGGGGGGTACGGTTCCATGTGTTTTTACAGTGTTCCCCGCCCCCCCCCCCCCCCACTGGAAATGGAAGGCAAATTGTAGCCTTCGGGTTGGGTTGGGGTGGTTTGGTGGGTGGTGATGTACCTTTTGCCAGTACCCGAGCCGAGACGTCGGCAGTAGATAAGGACATACTTTTGATTTGAGCGGACTTCACACACACACACACGAAAAGTGTGTGTTTGTGTGGGGGGCAGGACGCGAGCCCTCGCCTGGCGTGCGCCCGGGGGGGGCGGGGAGCCGCGGAGGCGCAGCCGCCCCGCTGCTGGCCAGGCGCCGGCGGCCCCAGGCCTCTGTGGACGCCGGTGCCCGGACTCCGCGCGACGGCCCGCGCAAGGCGGATGAGGCAGAGTCGGGGATCTACTGGCCCGGGTCAGTCCAAACCAGGGTCAATCAGGCCTTGCAGGATCCTGCAGGATCCTGCACCCAAGCCTGGGGTAATGCGACCCTGGCCCTGCAGGATCCTGCAGGATCCCGCGCTCTGACTGACCCCCGTTTGCATGGACCCCCGTCTCTTGCGCCCCGACAGTGTGGGCGTCTGCCGTGCCCGGAGATCCGACGTTGCGAACAAGCTGCAGCACCGCGGGACATCACGACCGGAACCCTATGTAGGCCCCAGCTCCCTGCGGCACTCTTCGGACCGGATGGATCTGTGAGGGCCCCGTGGCCCAAGGTCACGATGGCATCGCGACGCAAGGATCTCAGGGTCTGCCGTGGTCGGGGGCGGCGGCCCTCATAGAGGCTTCCAAGATGAGGTCCGAATAGATGGGGTCGGATGATCGCGCCGCATCGCCGATGCATCGCCGATGCATTGGCGATTCGCATCGGCGATGCATGGGCGACGCTGGCGCGGAGAAAATCGGGCTCCTCTTCGGGCCGCATCGCCGATGCATCAGCGATGTGGCGCGATCCTCCGACCCCATCTGCTCAGACTCCACTTCGGAGGCCTAGATGCGACGAGTAGGAGATCGACGGCAAAACTGATTTATCCCAGAATTCGAACTGTCGTCGAATCTTCGGAAAGTGCGTCGACTTTTCGTAGATCTACGACTACTCTACGCATTCTTCGTGCGTTCGGTGAAACAACACAAATCTGGGGCGTGTCAGTTGTGCAGCCGATCTCCTACTCGATAGACGTGCGCGTGGGGCAAGGGCCCTCAGAGGCGCGACCGCCTGACCGCCAGCCAGACGCCGGCAGCCCCTAGGGCCGCGCCCGCGGACAGCAGCCGCCGCGCCGCGCCCTCGGGCAAAAGGGGCCCAACCATGACCTTTTCGAGCAGGCGCACGGTGCCGTCGGTGTACGGCGGGTACCTTCACTCACTCACTCCTTCACTCACTCACTCACTCACTCACTCACTCACTCACTCACTCATGGCGGTTGACGGGTGCTCCCTGCTGCCAGCGGCCCCCTCCTGCAGGTGCCGTCTGGCTCTGCAGGAGGGGACCGTTCCGAAAACGTGCCGATCACCGTTGCAGGGCTGGCGAGGTACGAGGGGGAAGAAACGGACGGGGGCCCGAAAGAAGAGGTCAGGGGTACCTTCGACGCACGTCTCGGAACGTGTACTGGGGAAGAGGAGGAGGAGGGGGAGGAGGAGGAGGAGGAGAGGAAGAGAGGGATGATGGTGATGATGATGATGATGATGAGGAGGAGGAGGAGGCGGAGGAGGAGGAGAAGGAGGAGGAGGAGGAGGAGGACTAGAGTAACAAGTTAGGCATGGAAACGAAGAGAATTGCGTGCACTGTTCTACCAGCGCGTATGCGGAATGAAAGGTATGCGGTGTGCTATGCAGGCTATGCGTGCGCTAAGCCTGGCCAGGCTCAGGGCCCAAAAGGCAGCGGGACAGAGGCGGGTGAAAAGGCAGGGATGGCCTGACCAGGGTCCGTTCGAGTCTGGTGCTCAAACACGTCCGTTCTTCACTCGGTAGAGGCTGTTACACTTCCACCAAGAGAACAGCCCCGCCCTGTTAGCCTGCCTCGGGTCTGGCCTACAGCTCCAGGACGCCCACGTCGAAGGTCTGCGGGCCGAGGAGCTGCGCCGGGTGGAGCACCGTGCAGTCGTAGGTGCTCATCTCCCGGCGTGCCTGCTGGAACAACATCCATGGAATGTTGTCTCCCCTCGCTGTCTGTGGAGAGCCGGCAAACGGCGCGGCCCTCCTCGCTGATATGGAGGCCAGGAGCATGTTGACTTACTCCTGGGCTTGCCTGATGAGGCTGGCTGCACGGTATCGTAGTCGCAGTCTGCTCACCACTCAGGCTGTGCAGCTCCCTCGGTCCCTGTGCCTACACTGGGCTGGTTGTTCAGCCTCGAGCGCTGGCTGCTCGGCGCGCTCTTCTTCCTCTTCTCGTCGCTGAAATGCACCGTCGGATGAGCACAACTGGCATGGCCAGTCATGACTCCCAAGATGAGGTCCCGACCGATGCTTCCCTTAGTCATCGGGTCGGCCCTCATGTCTCTGGTGTCGCACCACAGCATGTCTTCGAGCTGATTGGTGCGAAGCTGGTCGCTCAGCCACCAGAGATGGCCGGCCATCGAGTTCTCAGATGGCGGCCGGACGGGGTCGAACAGCAGGGCCGTGAAGACAGACATGCCGTCTACGACCAGCTCGGCTGGGATGGCGTCGCCTCCTTCCTCCCTCAGCCGCCGGATCTCCTCCGCGTTGGCCGGGCCGTGCACCATCTCGCGCAGGGTGAGGAGGTTCTGATGCGCCCCGCCAGCTGCGCCGCAGGCCGCGAGCAGCTCTGAGCCGAAGGAGGACCTGCACACAAGCTTGTGTGATCTGCTGATGGCATCCAGCAGGTGGCAAACCTCCTTACCCGTCTTGGGGCACGTGCCCATGCGCGTGTACACGGCGCCGCGCATGCCGCGCCCCGTCTCCTCTTCCCCCTTGAAAGAGCCGTCGCTGTGCACGACCAGTCGCTTGCTGCACTTCATCGCTGGGAAGACGATGCGCGCCTTCAGCTTCTGCGTGGACAGAACGACCGAGTTGAGCTGCATCGCGTGTCTGATGAGCAGCTTGTTCTTGGCTCTCTGCAGCGCGACTACGTGCACAGCCGCATGGTGTTGTGCAAGTAGCGCGTAGGCTACTGCTCCCAAGAGAGATACGACTAGGTCCGGGAGCGGACCGGTGGCCGGCTGATCCGCCTGGGCCTTGACCAGCCCGACGTGCCTGTCAGGGATCAGCGCGTCGTTGTACTCGTCTTGGTCTAGGGTGACCGCGCCGTCCTTGGCGCGGCTCTGGTGGACGCCACAGATGGAAGTCCCCCCAGTCACCCTTCATCTTGCCGAAGACGCTCTCGATGTGAGAGATCAGCTGGTCCGTGCTTTTTCTGCCCAGCTATCTTCAGGCCGTCCACGTGCTTGGGCAGCATGAGCACTAGCTCTGAAACGCCGTGAGCATGGCTCGTAGGTGCCTCATGCTTGACCTCGAGCTCGGGGCCCCAGCGCGTCGGCATGGCGTTGCACTCTGGAGAGCGCGTGGCCCGCGCGAGCTTCATGGAGAACGCCCGCGGAGCATCCTTGCAGCCTGTACCCGGCTTGATGTAATGGAGGCACTCCGTCGTCTCGTCGAAGTCCTCGTAGCCCGGCACCTTTCGCAGCATCGCGGCGCTGCCGGGAGGCAGCGTGAAGTTGACCTCCCCAGGTGCCTCGCCCTGCTCCTGCATCTCTTCGTAAGTCATCCCTTGCAGGAAGGCCTTCTCCACGTCCACGGCGACGTAGACCCAGTCTGGTCTGCGAGCCGCCTCCGAAGAGAGAGCGCGCTGAGATAAGCGCTTCGCTGTCCCAGCAAACGTCCCCAGCGCACCCGCGCCCATGTCCCTGAAGCCCCGCAGTGCCGCATCTGATTATGCGGGCCATGTTGCCCTCCGCATCCGTGCGGTGCTTCCACTTGAAGACGTGGCGGGAGTCCATGACGTTCCGAGCTCCTCGAAGAGGTCGTCGCTCGAAACAATTGTAATTGACTTAGATGGTGAGCTCCTCCATGATGGCTGCGGCAACCTCTTGGGGCAGCCTAGACACCTCCTCCTTAGTGAGCAAGTCGGTGTCGCACTTGATTGCCGCGGTCTTGGCGGCGGCTTAGACGTTGAGCGCAGCTGTCCACGATGATGAGTCGACATGGTCGCTCATCTCGGTCTGTGTGCTCAAGAATGCTTCATGCACTCCGGGGTCAAGGTGCAGCTCCACGCGTGGACCTTGATCATCTTCATCCTCCAGCGTGGCATACTCGGCCTCCGAAGCCCCGCGAAGGTAGTAGTGGCACCTCTCGTGGATCACCTGGCGCTGCCGCTGCGTCCCCAGCTGCGATGGCCACTCGGAGGGCCGACGGCCCATGCCGGCCGCAGCGTGCTCGATAGCTGCGTATACCTGCTGCTGGTGTTCCTCGCAGCCGTCCTTCATGAGCTCACTGGTGAGGTCGTCGGCTTTCTCGACCTCTTGCCACGCGGCTAGTATCACCTTCTGGATGTGGCCGGAGAAGTCGCTCTCGTCGCCCTCGGGTATGATTGAGAGCGCCGAGGGTGGTCCCCCTTCCGTAGTCGACGCAGCATCTTCTTGAGATCCGACAACATGGTGTCCGATCTCGCCTTCAGGCTCTCAACCGACGTCTGTTGCCATAAGTGGCTCATCGCCCAGAATGAACTGAAGGATGCGGGCGTTCTTCCAGGCGTCACCGACCAAGGAGTACGAGTCGAAGTGCACGCTGTTGAGGTGCATCTGCTGCGTGTCGTAGGGGTCCTTGGGAAACCACCAAATGGCCAGACTGCCGGAGCAGCCTGGCCAGGCGCCAGCCTGTTTCTGGCCTCGGATCAGACGTATGGCACGAACGTCTGACAGCTGAAAGCATCTGTAGGCCAGATGGCGCAAGGCTTGGAAGATCTCGGGCTTCTGTCGAGCCTGCTCGGTGATGCTGACGTTGCCGCTGTCCTCCCAGTGGCCGAAGGTACGAACTCCTGATCCTTCCTGGACGTGCTCGACGAAGTCCTCGACCAAGTCCCACGCCAGGCCAGCGCGTGTCATCCTGGCGCCGAGGTCGTCGTAGACCGCGCCGATGAAATGACGGACGCCCTGCAATCTGCCATCCAACTCGGCGCGGCGGTACTTGGCAGTGACCTTTCCGCGCGCCGGATCCATTGCAGTGATCGTCCCTGGGCCTGCCCTGCCTGAAACATCCTTGGTGTCGGGCGGCCGATGGATCTCCACGACGTCACCGATGTTGAACTGGCGGACGGCTGGGTGCGCGTCCGGAGGGCACGGTTGACGCGTGATACCCAGGTCACCTCGATCATGCGCTGCAGTGCGATCTCGCGAATGCGCCACTGCAGTTGGCTGGGCTGGGTCTCACCACCAGGAGAAGCAGGACTGGACTCCTCGGCATGGCCAGATTCGTCCGCACCCTCTGTGTCGACCTCTAGCGGCGGCAGCATGCTGGGCTGCCGTCCGAAGACCACGTTGCAGGGCGTGACGCTGGCGTGAGGCTGTTGCCGGCGAAGATGGCGTTCGCCAGCATGGAGTCGAAATTCGCCGCAAGGCTCTCTCGTTCCAGTTGCTCCTCGGTGGTGTGCAGAGCATGGCGCAAGATCGCGCCGCGCCGCTCTATGAAGCGCGCGTGCTGCCTGGGCGCCCGTGCGTGCAGGGAGATACCTCGACGCTTGAGCTCCTCGTCGAAGTACTTCGAGGTCGCCATCCCGCCCTCGCCGTCCACGGTGAGCTGTTCCATAGCTCTGAACAGCTGCACCCACGACTTGTCGATCGCGGCCAGCATCGTGGAGTCGTGCCTGTCGCTGACCTCTTGGCCGTTGTGCCACCTGGAGGCGCAGCAGATCAGGTGAAACATCATGCGGTCCTTGTAGAACATGATGTCGCACTCGACGTGCTGGTTGAACCTGGTGGACAGGCGGAGGGTCGGCACTGTCTGGTGCGCTGGCGATAACCATTGGCGACACTCACGACAGTTGTTCACGACCGTCGGGACGAGGTCGAGGATCTCCTGGTTCACGTTGGCGGCCCTCAAGGCGCGCAACATATCCTCCTTGGTGGCGTGCCACCACCGGACCGGAGGTGCAGCTTCCGTAGCTCCCTCATCCTCGTGTCGTAAGAGTTGCTCCGAAGTGCTCGCAGCGACGTGGTCACGTCGAAGCGCGCCCAGTCTGCCGGCACCGGGGCCCCCACTGACGCGTCGGCGGCCCTTTGGGCTAGGCGCCGAGAACTCTGCGCCGGCGAGGCCCGCAACCGAGCTCGAGGCCCAACAGCGTGGCCGTGGCCTCCTTCATCTTCATGAGCAGCAGCGGCGGGGCCGTGTGAAGACCAAGCGGCG